TTCTCTGTCTACGTGTGTCATTTTTAGCCTCCAGAGGAAGTTTTATTTGTATTTGTTACCTCGAATTTCCACTGCCGTGGCTTTTTTTTTTTTTTCTTTTGACATTTTCGTGTGAAGGGGCTGGGAGAAAACACGGCGGGGTGAGCTCAGGTGTGCTTGGGGTCAGCGGTGCCTGCGGCGCTGCCGGCGTATCCCGGGAATTCCGGCCTGGATTCACCAGCTCTGCAGAGCCCAACGGGATTCAAAGGCCACAGGGCCGTGGAAACACACAGTCCCAGGGATTCTGTGAGCTGAGCTGAGCCCTGTGGTCCACCCCACAGCCACCCTTTGCTCCCCCAGGGTGATGTTGTGAGGTGGGTGTGGGCGCTTCCAGCCCTTTCCCAAAGCAAACCCACCCACTCCGTGGGATCACTGAGGAAGAGGAGGAGGACCCGGAGTTGGAAAAATTAATAGTGAACTCGTGAAAACTGAATGTTCCTGGTGAGCAGTGGCAGCGCCCAGCAGAGCACACAGGGGGGATGTTTCTTCCCAAAACTGGGCTGGAGGCCAGAAGAAGCTTGTGCTGAACACAATCCCTAAATCAGCAGGGTAACAATTACCTATTTTTAATAATCACTGAAACAATTACTCTGCTGAGAGAAAGTCTCAGCCCCTGGCTCGAGGGGAGGCAGCCCTGGGTCTCATCCCCCGATGGAGAGCAGGAGGTATCTCCCTTCTGGGGAGGAAAATGCAGATTTGGGAGCAGGGGGGGTGTTAAGGAGCAGGGTCTGGGGGACACCCCTTGCACCCCCAGTGATTCAGTGCCATGTGGGGATGACACAGGGACGATCCAGCTCCGAGGAGCTCAGCAGTGCCAGGCAGCAGCTCCCCCTCACACGGGGACTTGCTCAAGAAGGGATTAGCAGGATCAGCTGATGATGATCTAAGCGCATAACTATATCAACCCGTGAATTAATTAATGATATCTCGCACCTCGGAGTGGCTCTATCTGCAGATCTCTGCACTCCTCAAAGCATCCACTGAATTAAGCCCTGCTGCACCCCCCGGGAAATAGGTCAGGATGGATAATCCCCATGTGCCGGTGGGGACACGGCGGCACAAGGCGGGGGATAAACAAGGCTGCCCGTTTTGGGAGCCAACCTGGGAGATTTTCCAGCACCAGCATCCCCGTGGGGTGCAAAGGGACCCTGCCCTCCGTGTGTCAGCCACGGGGGGGGACTTTGGGATGCTCCAGCTCCCGGTGCTTTGCTCCCATCCCTCATCCCCGTGCCGTGGACACACAGAGCCCCCAGCCCGGGGGTCCCTGGTGCCACGGGTGGGCTGGTGGTGGTGGGTGCCCGCACTGGGAGCTGCTGGATGCAGCAGCTGATCCATGGACAGGCAGCCGGGCGGGCCCTGGGAGAGGCTCCTGGGCTGGGGCAGGAATTTAGGGCTCCTGAAGTAATAGGGAAGGCGGGCGAGGCCAGGACGTGTCCCCACCTCTGTGTCCATGCCAGCACCCAGAGGGGACCAGCGGGCAGCCAGGGGCACGTGGGCCGGTCCTGGAGTGATGCCTTCATTAATTAGTGGTAATTAATTATTATTGGGCCTCCAAAATGCTGTATAATATCAGAGGAGCTTTGTGGGGCTGTCTGGGGGCCCTGCCAAAGCTTGCTTGGTTTGGGGGTCCTGGCCCCCCATCCCGCTCACTGGGGCTGGACCATTCAGCCAGGCTCTTGCAGCATCCTGGGATGCAAATTCCGAGTGTTCCTGAGGGAAAGCAGCTGCCTGGCTGTACCCAGAGACCTGCCAGACATCCCGGGACGAGCATTCAAGGGATGCTCTGCAGGGAGAAACTCTGCCCAGGTTTTGTTTCCTCTTTCAGCTGCTCCCCGAGTCGGTTTGGGCTGGGTTTGTCCACAGCCAGTGGGAAGCTCCCAGCCTCTCCCACTCCGCCAGGAGCACTAGCACCTTCAGATGTGGTTTTGCCCCAAAACAGCCCTCGGTGGAACAGGAAAACAGGGAGTTTTTGATACGGTGGTCCCAGCCCACCAGCTTTGCTCCTGCCCAGAAGCTGCCGTGCCTGCGCTGCCCTGTTTATTTTTATCCCAGCTCCTGCAGGATGAGGCAGCTGCCTCCCGGGGGGGTTGCATCCCGAGGCGTGGTGGAAGGTGCTGGATGGCTCTGCCAGCCACCCCTGCAGCCACCAGGGCCGAGGACGGACGGACTCACGGACTCGGCCCGGCTTGCCCTCACTTGTCGGCAGCTCTCGCTGCCGTTCCCTGCCCGCAGCCCCGCGGGTCCTCAGCCAGCCTCACATTTCCTCATTGCTAGGAAGTGGCTAATTCCCCCCGGGCCGGTTTCAATGGCTCACAGATCCCTCGCCTTTTGGCCTCCCACCAGTTTCTGCGGCGGTCGAAGCGCAGCCCTCGGGAGCAGCGCGTTCCCAGG